GTCTGCTTCATTTGAAGCTAATAGAGTAGCGCTGCGTTGAGCCATTGTACGTTGAGATGAGAGAGGTGCGCAAGTTTGGTGGGGTGCGGCGCTCGCCCGTGTGCGGCGCTCGCCTGTGGAATACGTTATGGGATGGTCATGTTCCTCAAAGTGTAGTTCAAGACCTTTGTCTCCTTCTTGAGGATGCCCGACAGCTTCTGATCGCCACATACAACTTCTAAACTAGTCTCGAGCACAATGTCTTATTCTGCGAATACATTGCTTCACATTGTTTCTATCTTTTCGGTGGCATCCTCAAGGTAGTCATATCGTGCACTACCTCTCTCTTTCTTTTTCTCATCTCGACATCAACCGGTCTCCAGCTGAACTACCATTGCTACTTTTGACACAATGTTAGACCCATTACTTCTCGACCAACTCCTATGCCCGACTGCTGTCTATTAAGGAGCGAAGTTCTACTGCATAAGCAAGAACCAAGAAGCAATTACGGCGTCTTGAAATCGGCTAGGTGACATCTATATGAAGCGCCGAGACGCCTTGATCGATCCTGCTTCACAAAAGGATAAATTTGCGGCTCACTACAATAAGACTGCAGAGTTTGATCACGACATGACGTCCGCTCTTGACTCCATTAGCGAAGTTGACCGGGCAATCGCTGCGATGAAGTGATGAAGGTCGAGATAGAGAAGCTTGTGGAGCAGTTGTGCTGGGCTGAAGAACAGCAATTGGCGTCGACACATGTGCAGTGTTCGTAGATCAGCCAAGGTGCTCATGCCTGTTGCAAAGCGCTCACAGTTTCGACACTAGCGCTTTCGAGAGACAGATCCTTTCGAACTGTCATGTCGCAGTTGCTTTTAGGCGGGGTCCATATTAGTACAGTGTTGCTACAAACAACACTACCGGGTCTTTCCACTCGCTGATGCATTGATTCCAGGCCAAGCCGTTTTTATAGGTGCATCGATGGGTCGAAAAAAGCCCATCTGGGTGGAAGACATATGCAATCATCTATTCTGAAGTGGCCCTGACCGTATGTACCTAGAGCGTGCATAGTGATGGAGCGAACAGCGGTGCCCTTTCGAATAGCGGATGCCTCTGAGTTGATAGTCGAACCGCGTGAATGAAACTAGCGCGAGTATATTCTAATCGGAGGCAAGAAGCCAACATCGATACGTTCACAGTCGGTGACAGAGACGTGTACTTACAGGTAATTGCCAATTTTACGTAATTCTGTCATGTCCCTATGATAGCTGGACGTCCGGCGAGGTCTTGGGAACCGTGCCTCTTAAAAAATAAAAGTGATGATGGCCTTTCGTCAACTGCGGAAAGGACGACGGCAATAGAAGACTTTGCCTCGTTCTATTTCGGACTGATGTGTAAAATCGCGTTCGACTTGGGCCTGATAGGCCTGGTGTCTCGTGCAACATTGCTGAGCACGTGACTCATTTCCATCGGCAAGCTTCAATGAAGCCATCACCACAACAGCAAAAAGATATTCTTGCATCGGCCGGGAATCGAACCCGGGGCTAGCCGAAACTGTCCTATGAAGGATGGCAACGGCTAATTTTACCACTAAACCACCGATGCGATCATTGATGCGGTGAACAACTTTGTTGATATAAAAAACGCTTATTGTAATAAATATTGAAAGAATTTAAAGATCAAGTCTTCTCTCCATCCTGCATCTCGTCAATCAAGCTCATAGACTCTTGACTACGCTTGTTGGTTGTCAGGCGCGCTTGAGCATGTGGTCAGACCAAGGCCACCTCTGACCTGAGATGCAATGATGATATGTACTGTTCCGCCCACATGCTCACTATCTGAAAGAGTATTGCCGACACCTTTTGCTTGCATGGCCGAAGTGGGCGGAGCCCGGTCCTGACATTGGTCTTGTTGTCGGTAGAGTGACTCTGCAGTTTTGTCACTAAGGATGTGCAAATTCATATTTTAAACACTAACGCGAGGCCCCGCAAGTCTGCTAAACAGGCTTAATTGTGTAAAAACAACTCTAGCTACCTCTTACTAGACTAGATCCTGATTCACGAAAATGAAATCTCAAACTCTGAAACTGTTAAGATATTGTGTGTGCTGCGCCGCGAAGTCTATAAACGCGAAATCCGTTGCTGCCAGCTAATAAGTGTCTGTTTTTGCGGAAGATCTGAGATTCCATAGCACATAAAGCTATTTTTAGTCACGTAGGTAGCAGTTGTGATAAAACATTGCTCAACTTTTGTTTGGAAGGATTTAGAGTAGGCGTCAATCTACAACTATGCTGCAGCCATTTTTGGCATGAGTTTTATGCGGTTTCTACCCTGCGAACAGCAGAGGTGCTGGTGTGAAGCGAACTATGGTGACGGCGATTGAATGCATAAGTGCTGATGGTAGGGCCCTGCTATCTCTGATTATTTGGCCTGCTTCAACTCACTGGAGCACCTAGACCACATACAAGACGCCTAGATGGCACTACGCACACTCTGAGAATGGATACAATAGCTCTAAGATCAGCCTGGAGTTACTTACGTGCGTGTTCAACACGCACACTAGAGAGCGTGCTGATGGGAAACCACGAGTGCTTGTGTGCGATGGCTTCAGGACGCATAGGACACTCAAGATTCTATAGTTTTGTCTAGCAAACAACATTATTGTGTGCTGTCTGCCCTCTTATACCCCCCACAAGCTCCAGCCATGCGACGTCGGGCCCTTCGCTCCTTTAAAGACGGCATATCGTGACCAGGTAGAGAGACTGAACCGTGGAGGTGTGGACATGGTTAGCAAAGAGCACTTCACCTACCTGTACAGCCCAGCACAAGACAGGGACATGAACAAGAGAAATGTCCAAGCTGGATAGGCAGCAACTAGCTTGTTTCCCTTAAACCTGGAGAGAGTGCTAAAAGACATTCCAAAGCTCCTAGCTGAACTTATCATTCCAAGAGTTAATAACGCGGCCAGACCCTTTCTGTTAACTAAAGTGGTGCATACACCTCTTACGCCTGTGACACCAGTGATATCAGAAGCACTTACAGTGTTGCATAATATGATTAAGAACGACAATTAGACTCTTGATAAGGATAGCAAGCAGCGTGTATAGAGGCGCATACAGAAGCTCGCAAGTGCTGCCTAGATATCCTTCGCTAAGCGAGCTCTTCTCTAGGACCACAATCACTTCTTCTTTAGGATTAACAACAAAGCTAAAGTCTGATAATTGACTAAGTCTGTTGTCCTGGGGAAGACAGAGGTAATAAGTTATAAGGACCTCAAGGCAGCCTAAGCGAAGAGGGCTGTAGAGGAGAAAGATGCTGCAAGTAAAAAGAATGGAGTAGTTGTAAGCGCAAGGGTCCTACGTTGGAGGCAGACGCAGGTTTGTTAGTACCAAAATCTGAAGTAGTGCGGGTGAGCAAGATAGAAGCGCTAACGTACTCTATCACCGAGCTGGTTATATCACTAAGGTAGTCAAAAACTCTTAGCGCGCCCAACTTATGTTATAGCAACTTAAATTACTTGCTATTAAATAGTAATCTAGTGTAACGTAAAGCACCACCAAGCCAGACACTTTTTCTTATCACTGCAACTTTTCTATACAATATAATATGTAATAATAACACAAGCAGATATTAACTTAGTAAGAAGGTAGAATTATTCTTGCACTTTAGGCCTATACCTTAAGACAATTTAAGAGCGTATAGAGTGCTACTACTACCTTTAAGGTACCTTTCTAGAGGCTCTCTAATTAGCTAAATAAAATTATATTTTAATAAGAAGCACTACCTAATAGCTAGAAACTCTCTGTAATAGAAGAGCAGACAATTGTATAATATATCCTTAACCTTAATTTGCATAGATTTGCCCCCTAGCTGTGTAAGGTAGTAGATATTACAGACAAACTATTAGCTTTATATAGTAGGACACCTATTAGTAAGAACTAGGCTAAGTAATTTGTGTTGTGTATAAAGGAGCTTAAGATAGCTTTTAATTAAGTAAATAACTATTAGAGAATACTCTAGGAAGATCTAGAGGTAATTAGCGCGTAGTTTAAGCTTGTACAGGAGACAAAAGATAAGTATAGGGTCCTAGATAAGGATATCTATAACTTTAATAAGAGTAGCTTTTAGATAGAAGTAATTAGCTTAATAAAGGTTGTTACAGGCTTAGAGAAGCGTATAAGGCTAAACCTTATTTAGCTAGGTAATTAGGAGTAGGTTATAGTTATCTAGAGCATCTGCGCTGCTAGGTATGCAACCCTACCTTTTATTATCTACAAAGGGCATGTCTATATCTCTGCCTAGTATAAGGAGACTAATATCCTGTATAGCTAGAAGCTCTTAGTCTCTAAGAATAGATAGACTAACAATGTGCTTAGTCTTAAGTAGTTAAAGCATTTTAATATATATATAAGAGCGCCTTAGAGGGGGTTATACAGGCTGCTTATCTTAGACAGCTATAAGAGCTACCTTAACTAGGAATTTAAGGACTACTACTAGGAGAACAGAATCCTTACCCTCTATATGCCTCCTTACTTATTACACATACTTTAGCTACTTAATATAGTGTGTTTTTTGCTATTAAAACTAAGGTAATCCTAATATATCTAGGACTTAGCACACTAACACGTCTTCTATATTAATAAGGAAGGCTTCCTTCTAGCCTTTAGAGACATGTTTTTTAATGTGTTTATATACAAGAACTGTAAAAAGGGCTTTAAGGTATTAGGGCTAGTCCCTATTAACATGTAGGCAGTCCTTAATTAGCTTAAAGTGTAATTTTATAACGTAATCGGCCATTGAGTCGGCCAGGCAATTGAGCCGGCCACCTTATGCAGCCACCCACCTTGACACGCAGATAACTCAACACCACAACGTTGTGCTGTGGCTCACAGTACGTCAAATTAATCCACTGTCTACAGTATCTTGCTTACATGTGCGCTTATTGTGCCTAGCCTGACCACACCTTCCACAGCGTCAAGAACCCTCTCTACTACCACCTGTTTGCACCCTCTCCTTACGCCTCTCTGCCTCTGCCTACACCACTACCTCTTGTGCAGCTATTATTTCCTCTGCCTCTTGCTGTAATAGGGTTCCTCTATACTAGATCTGCTTCCTTTTACGTGCTTTACGCTTAGAAGCAGCTTTATTTGCTGCTTAAAGCTTAACTATCTTAGCTGCTATAAGCACCTTAGAATGCACTATTATATTAGCTCCCTTTTTAAACTGCTGCACTATCTTAATAATTAAAGCTAGAGATAAGCTGTGGTGCTGCCTAATCTAGTTAGATATTAGTATTAATTAAGCTAATATTTTAGCAGCGTTGCTTAGTGTTCTAGGTTACTAGGTAGTAGGCCCTAGTAAAGGTAGTGTTAGCGTACAAGGCTTTACTTTAAGCTTTAATAGCACTACCTCTAGGTTATCTAGAAATAAGCCTATTACTAAGAAGCTTAATTAGATATTATTAGATAAAAATGCCTTATTAAATACCTAATTAAAGGTAGCTAAGAATACTTTCTTATTAATGTAAGTAATATAGCTGTTTGCTAAGACATTAATTTCTGTCTTATATGCTTGTTTTAATAGGGCAAAACAGCCCACATTAAGTGGCTATAGGATATAGGAGGTGTAAGGAGGCATACAGAGAGTAATAATTTTGTTCTCCTCACACAGATCCTGGAAGGCAAGCGACTTGTGGCTCTCATGGCCATCAATAATCAGCAGCTGGTGGCTACCCACTGTCCAGGCTGTTGTATGCTGGATGAAGTGCTTTAGCCACTCTAGGCCCAGTTTATTTATTGTCTAGCTATTCTTGCTAACACTAATACGCTAATCCTTTAGGTTGTGATACTAGGCTTAGTTGTGGTTCTTTACTTTAAAGATAATAAAGGGTAGGATAACCCACCCTATAGTATTAATTGTAGCAATTAACGTCGCCTATTTATAGTTGCTAGGCTAGACTCTAAGTAGCTTAAGACACCTCTTAGACACTGTTACTACCTTAACAGACACTCTAACACCTATCTAGAAGCTAGTCTTATTAAAGTTATAGGTATCTTGGTCCTAGATGCTATATTTAGCTTTGACGTTGCGCACAAGGTTAAACTAGGGGCTGATAATAGCTGGATCCCTGCACAAGACTCTCTAGTGATCGCGCTGTCTGGTTACCTAAGACTTGATCTCAGGCTTCTAGTTTACAAGGTGCCTGGCCTATTTTTCTCTAACCTTACTACCACTATAGGCAGCTAGTAGTTAATTGGCTATTTCACGTACGTAGCTTAGCGTAGGGGCAAAGCCTTGCGCGTCAAGCTTCCTTATGTATTGTATAATCACCTCCTCTTTAGGCTTAGTAAGCCTTAATCTGCTATAGTAGGAATTGCGTTATAAGGTGGTTTTAGCGCGTTAGTCTTAGAGGGTTAATTAAGGAACGTTATACATAGCAGCAGCGCGCTATTAGCTTATTAACGCGTTAGATTTTATAGCTTAGATAGCAAGGATTATCCTATCCTTACAAGGAAGTAATCTAAGATCAGGTTGTTGAGACATTAGATAAGAGGTGGAATGAGGTGTGATCTTGGCAAAGGTGGCCGGCTCAATTGCCTGGCCGACTCAATGGCCGATTACGTTACCCCTCTACTAATACCTCTACTAGAAACACTATAGTAATCTAAAGCCCTAAGCAATACCTACAAATTTAGGTTATAATTAAAGCTTATAAGTAAGCGCTTTGTACAGTTACTAATATCTACTTAGGAGGGGTTTTTAAAGCTTATTAAAGGAGCTAAAGAGATACTGTATAAAAATATACTTATTAAGGCTTGTGTATAGGAGCTTAAAGAGCAACTAGCAGAGATAATAAAGTGCAAGACTTAGAAAAGAAAGCAGATCTAGCATAGGGGCACAATAGAGTATAGTAAAGCAGCATTGTTAGTAGCTAGAAGCGCAGCTGCAGCTCGTATGGTGTTAAAGAAAGTGCGTGGTAGTAGTAGTTAAGGAAGAGCACAGCCAGGTTAACAGCACTGTAGCAACTGTGGGAAGACTAGGCACAACGCTTATATGTGCTAGAAAGATGCAGAAGAAGAGTCTGCATCTAATGCAAGTGCGTTGTACGTAGGTTCTGCAGCAAGTAGTAAGTAATTGCTTGTCCTGTACATAGTGTTCACAATGCTAAGAAAAAGTGTCTAGCTCAGTGGTGTGTCTGGCTTGGTGGTGCTTTACGTTACTATGTACTTGTATTAGATTTAGAATCTTCTCCTATATCTTTCTAACACGTTTAAGCGTTGTGCCTAGTGCCTCTATGGTTTCTACAGCGCTGTTAGGCTAAATAGGTCCTTTCTTAAGTATCTGCACTACAAGTTGTAAAGAAAGTAGGGGAAGGACTAGACTACTTTCTTCCTAGTCTAGAAGGACCTAGACAAAACTAGACTAGCTTTGTCCAAATAGGAAGCGTATAGCCTAATAGAGGTAAGGTAAGATTATGTAATATAATAACGTACTCCACGGGTGAGTCGTTCATACGGGTGAGTCGTTCATACTGCCAAGACCACACCAAACCTCCACCCTATTATGGCTTGCATTGGCCTACTTTAGCCTTGTATACAGTAGTACAGCATATAATATTATTTAGCAACAGCTTCTACAGGCTTTTTATACGTGTACAAGTTATGCCCTACCTTATAACACTGTTTATAGTGTCTTTAGGTTGCCTTACCTCCTTTAACACGCGCTTGCTTCCCTACCATCTTACTATTACTACACACCCTAAACTTAGTTAGAGTAGTTAATTAAAGGGCTTCCTTAGCTATTAGGACCCCTTCCTGCTGTAACTACTTTCTTTTATGTAATTTATATTGCGTAGAGGCCTTATTTACTGCTTAAAGCCTAGTAATTTCCTTTTAAGCCAACACTAGCTTATACGCTACTATAGCTATGCCTTTAGCAAGCTTTTTAAAGGCCTTAACTAATAAAGTTAGTAAGCTGCTTATATGCCTTTAAATCCTCTCTTAAATTAGTGTTAATTATGACCCTATTTATAGGGTATTGCTAGGGGTTAAGGACTGCTAGGGAACATCTTCTACAGTAGGTAATAGTAGGGTATATAGGCAGATATTAAGACCTATTATAACCTATTCTAGCTTAAAGGGAACTAGTCTAGCGCCTTAGAAGCCTCCTTAGATATTACTAGGAGTAAATAACTCCTTATAGGCGCCTATAAAGCATAGCAGGAACTTAGTTATAGTAATATGCGTGATTCTGTTGTGTATAAGATCCTTAGCTTAGCGCCTATACGCCTTCTTTAAAGGGGCAAAACAACCTATATCTAGTAGCTGTAAGAGGTGTAATAAGTGTAGAGGCATACACAGTGTGATAATATTTGCTTCCTTGTAGTATTGTTAGAAGTCTAGGGAGTTGTAGCTCTTATAGCTATTAATAAGGAGCAGCTAGTACACTCCTTAGGTGCGTGTCTTTGTATAGGCATTAAAGTGCTTTAACTAGTTAAGACTAAGCTAGTTAGTAGTCTATCTATTCTTAGAGACTCTAATAACCTAGTTATAGGGCAGATTGTCCTCTTTGTACTAGGTAGAGAGGTAGTTGCAGCCTTTAAAGATAATAAAGGGCAGAATAGCCTATCCTGTGCTATTAATGCCCTGTATAACTGTTGTCCACTCCTAGTTGCCCTACTGCACTGCCTTTGGCTGTCCGCGACGCTCTAAGCCTGTAACAACTGCTCCTGTTAATATCTAGCCTATTATAAAGCCTATCTTATTAAAGTTGTACGTGTTATTATCCTAGATGCTATACTTAGCTTTAGTATTCTCTACTAGGCAGAACTAGCCCCTAATAACCTTAGGGTCCTTACACAGGGCTCTCTTGTAGTTATACTTGCAATTAAACTTAACTTAGAGGTTAGGGCAGCGCTTAACAAATGTATTAGGCTAGTTTATGCTAATATAGGCTATATTACGCTTCGCGCGCAAAGAATTAGCCATATCAGCTACAGCAGCCAATTGAGGGGCAAATCCTCTAGCATCTAGCTTAAGTATGTACTCAGCAATCACATCCTCCTTAGTCTAATCTATATTCCGTGATTTTGGCGTGCAATTGGCTTGTGCAGTGCGTCCTGCGTATCGATCGCGTAGCGTGTTGTAAGGCGTGTTATATATAGCTGCAGCGCGTCGCAGAGTGAGCGTCGCGTCTTGTTTAAATGCCTGAAGCGCAAGCTGTATTACAGCTTCTTTAAAGGGCTTAGATTTGTGTTGTTGTTGAGGCATTGCGTTGTGAAGTGGAATGTTGGTGTGGTCTTGGCAGTATGAACGACTCACCCGTGGAGTACGTTAGACAAGTTATTATATTAGATACTAGGTAGAGATTCCTAGGCTAGGTACAGAGCGAGCAGAGGGGGGAGAGCTAGAGGTATTTATGCTTCCTCTCCTCTGTCTGTATTTCTAAGCAGAACGTTCTAGACTCCTCTAGGTGGGTCTACTGCATCTATGCTTAGTATTGCTGCATATGCAAGCAAGATTACGTAGGTGCATGCGTAATTGTATACGTCAGCATCTTACAGAGTAGGTTACTCTATTTGTAAGCAGAGGGTCTAGAACGTTTCTAGTTACTAAAAATAGAGAACAGCATATCTTAAGAACAAGAGGAGATACAGGCTTTGTAAGCACACCATTCTAATCCTCTCTTCTTAGAGATTACAATAGCAATGCTAAGGTAAGCATAGCGCTATATCTAAGAGGGAAATACGCTAGATAAAGATTATAAGAACAAAGTCTTATAACTTTACATTATTTGCTTAAGTGCTAAGAGGTATCTATCTTAGGCTTATTCTTGTTTAATTTGTTTATTAACCCTAATAGTAAGTTGTAGGTCTGTAATCTACTGTTGTAGTAGTTTCTTAGGAAGACAGTATGTGTGTAGTAGATATAGCAAGACAGTTAAATAGATAAACACAAGAATATACTAAAGGCTTACTTCCTCCTTCTTATATTTATATTAATTATTCTTGTATTATTTAAGGAGTACTTTATAGTACTTAAGGTCTTCCTTAAATGCCTTCTAGCCTGTTATTAATAGCTTAGTTAGCCTTAATAGTATGTTAGTGTTTACAGCTAGCACGTAGTTAGTAATAGTTAGAGCCCTTAGCAAGAGTGGCTTTAATAGTAGTAATGTAGTTGTCTTTAGGTTAATCTTGTCCTAGATGTTGCGCAACAGGCGTCTTACCTGTAGCTGTGTAAGCTAGGCAGTCTAGTCAGCTTAGTCCCTAAGGACTGTTGTTAGGTCGCAGTATGTTAGTTGTGCTATTTTAGTTGCAGTAGTTTAGTTATAGTAGTTTAGTTATAGTAGTTTAACGTACTCCACAAGCGAGCTGGCCACCCAAGCGAGCTGGCCACTTTTGCCAAGACCACACCAATACTGCACCTACTTTGCAACATTACAGCACACAACTATAATATATTATACTATACAGTATACTAAACTAGTCTGTAGTACTCTGTGTATCTTTACTGCATGTTCGCGCGTTGTGCCCTGTCTTGCTACATGTGCTACAGCGCCTTAGAGACTGAGTGCTCCTATCAACACGCGACCTCTTCTTTGCCTTCTTCCCATCACTACAGGCCTCAAACTCCTTTAGAGTAGTTAGCCACACTCCCTTAGCAAAGACTAGAGTCCCCTCTCGCTGTAATTGCTTCCTTTTGTGTGATTTACAACGTGTGGCAGCCTTGTTGGCTGCCTGTAGGTTAGCAACCTAGTTGCGCACTAAAACCAGTGAATGCGCCATCAGCTCTGCGCCTTTAGTGAGCTGATTAAGAGCGTTAACTATAGACGTTGGCGAGCTATTAGCGTGTCTCTAAATCCTCTCTCAAATTAGCTTTAATTAAGACCTAAATTCTAGGGTGTTGCTTAGTGTTTTAGACTCCCACGTACTGTTGTCCATAGTAGGTGGCGTTGGCGTGCGCAGCTGTACTTCAAGCTTTAATAGCACAGCCTCTAGTAGACTGGCGGATGGGTACCATGTACCTAGGGTAGGGTATAGGTAGGGTATAGGTCGCACGGACGTAGGTATAGGTAGGGTAGGGTCGCACGGACCATAGGTATAGGTAGGGTAGGGTT